GCAGGGGTCAACTAGGTCTTGTAGACCTGACCTGGCTGGTCTCAAACTCACAGAGATCCGCCTGTCTCTACCTCCAGAGTGTTGGGATTAAAGGCATGTGCCACCACCACCTGGCAGAAAAGTTATAGAATAAAGCTGTGGTAGAAATCCCCAAAGACCCATCTTCCAGGTTCACAGCATGCCCTGCTCTTGTAGGTAGAACCTTTCCAGTTTCCAGGACAGATCAGTTTTCTCTCCTTTACCATAACGACAACAGTGTTTTCTACAGGTTCCTGAAGGAGGTGCAGTGTCAGAGACAATGTGCCAGGGGAAAAGGTCTTGCCCAGGTCCCTTCCAGCATTTCATCTGATATGATGTAGCCGCTCTTACCTCAAGAGGAAAGGTATTCTGGTGGTATTTTTCATCTTAAACCCTAAGCCACCAGGGGTAATTTCTTCTCCGTGCTATCCAAAGGTCAGCTCTGCTTCTCCAGTAATTACCTTTTCCTCTTTTGGCTGGCATCCACTGAGGTGAAAATCGCTTCTTTTGTTAGCTTGGTCTGCTAACCAGCTTCCTACCCACAATTCCTGGTAAGTGCTCCAGACAAAAGCTGAACACAAACCCTTGCTCTAGCTTGCCTGTGTCTGTGGTCACCGACAAGGCTAAACCTGCAATTATTTTTGCTGCAGGTTCACTCTTTGTTCCACGTTCACTTAAAGGGGGGGGGGGGTGATTCTTGTCAGCTCCCCAAGTAGCTGTTTTGCCCCATTAGGTAACAATTCAGCCCAGGTTCTCTCTGCCTTTAGTCATCATGTGAGACAGAGAGAGAATAAAGAGCTAAAACCTAAGAGGAGGAATGAAACTCAGGACGTGCCACAAGCGATGGCTGCTCACCTGTTCACAGTCGGTTTGAAGTTTTGACGTGTGATAGGGTGACTACAGAGGGCCCCTTGGATAAGAAGTCACACCCACACAATTCCCATAAAATTCTCTTTTTTTAAGATTTATTTATTATGTATGCAGTGTTTGGTCTACATGTAAGCCTGCAGGTCAGAAGAGGACACCAGATCTCACTAAGGATGGTTGTGAGCCACCATGTGGTTGCTGGGGATTGAACTCAGGACCTCTGGAAGAGCAGTCAGTGTTCTTAACCTCTGAGCCATCTCTCCAGCCCCCCCCCCTAAAATTCTGTACTTGAGAAATGTTCACTTGTAGCAGTTTTTTTTCAGTCAGACAACATGAGCTACACAATCTGTCACCCCCATCTTCATGCTCCCCGTTAGTAACTAACGTCCAGAAGACTGCTTAATTCCTGCAGCTCATCCTAGGCCCTGACATCTGGGTTCCCTCTTACCTGTTTTCACTGCCCTACTTTATATGTATTTTGGTATTTTTAGCTACTTTAAAACTCTTTGTTGGTGCACAGATAATAAAAAAAAAAATCTGATATTTAAAGCTTCCTTAATCTTATGAAACCACTTTCTGTTAAGAGAGTACTTCAAACTGTACATTTTAAAACTTAATAGTAATCCCAGAGCCTGACAGTGGACTCGGGCTGTGAGCTGATCTGTTGAGATCAGTACTGAGGCAAATTCAATTTCTTCTCATTTAACTTCTCCCACTTCTTGATTCTTCCTTCCTGCATTAAATCTGTCATTCAGGATCAGCCCTGGGAGCTTTTCCCTCAGGGACCAAGAAAGGTTTTTTTAATTTGCCTTTGAGTGAATATTTTATGTGAAGCTTCTGATCACCATTCAGGAAGTGAGCAAGGACATCTTGGTCTTCGGAAGCTTCCCATCCCCCAGGGATAAGTACTCAAGTGGACATCCCTCTCTACCGGAAATGGTTTTAGTCACACTTCCGACACCAAATGTGTGGGCTTTCGCCTCCCACCAACCGATTCCTAACTCCTCCGACTCTCCTTGATTCAACTAAACTAAAATAGTATCTGCCTGGAGTTAGCACAGATCACTCAGCTTAGGGAAGACTGAAGGACCACCCTCACTTCTGACTGCAGGCCACCTGTTCTGCTGAACAATTAGCTATGAACTCAAGATTCCATTGACCTGTGTTCAGTGGTTTGCTAGACCAAATTGCAGAATTCGGGGAAGTGTTCCACTGATGGTTGCCAGTGTATGACAAAGCAGCAGGAGCAACTACATGAAAGAGATGGAGAGGGAAAGCTGTGGAGGAGGGACACAGACCTTCCCACACTTTCTGAGTATAGCTCTGTGCGTTAACCAACATGACCCACTCCCTGGCCCTGTCTTCTAGGAGTTTCTATGGAGGCTCCATGTAGGCGTGGCTAATTGAATCATGGCCATTGGTGATTAACTTGACACCCAGTCCCTCTACCCTTCTCAAAGGTCCAGAGATGAGTTGAAAGTGCAGTCTCTTGTCAAGTGATCTCTCTGGGGATCAGCCCTGTCCTGAGGTTTGACGAGTGCAGAACTCCCCCTGCTTATCACAGCTCGGCGGGCACAGCCTTCCCTTATACCCAGCTGCTGTCAGCTGATCACAAGATGCCCTTGCAACCCATCATTTGTCAGCAGCGTTGCCTCTGTCCTAGAGTGGCAATTGTTAGTACTTGGGCATCTGTACTGGCCGGTCCTTGGGGTTCTGACAGGATACACCTTCAGCTGCAGCCACTAAGAGCACCACCTGTGCACACTCACTATGTTTCCTTTTAAAAGGGCCCTGCCCACCTCCCATCATTCTCTCTCTCTCTCTCTCTCTCTCTCGCTCTTTGCCTCTCTCTTTCCCCTCCTCTTTCCTCTCTCCTCTCTTGCTGCTCCTGACTCAGGAGGCTAGTCTCCCCACTTCCCTTTCCCCTTTTTATGATCCCTTTCCCTAATTTAAAAAAAAAAAAAAAACCTCTACTCGAACCCTGTCACATGGCGTCTTTCTCTTACATCTTTTTTAAATTACACAGCAATGGATTGTCATACCACAGGAGCAAAAGAAGATGGGCATAGTTAATCAGAACTTGCTGAAGCAAATCTCTGAACTGACCCCGTGCTGAGAGTGGACAGCCGCCATGGGGGCAAGAGTCATCACTCTGTCACCCATCATTTGCAAGGACTCTATAAACAGTACAGGGTAATATTTATTTGCTAGAAAAGTAATCTCTATGGCTCACAGAGATAGTCATCAGTGCTCACTCAGCAAAGCATGAGCATCTTTGATACCCTCCCCCCATTCACATATACTTTCCTTTCTTCCCTTCCTTAATTGCTTATTGTTAATTATTTATTATGTATTTATTCATTCATTCATTTTTAAAGATAAAATCTCACGGTGTAACTCAGGTTGGCCTAGAACTCACCAAGTAGTTCAGGTTTGATTGACACTTGTGGTGAAAGACCCCCGGAGGCTCAGGCCCCCAGGATCTAAGCCCAGGACCATGGCAATCCCAATCACAAGGCGGAGGAGAAAGCTTGATGCAAACAGCACGAGGCTTTCTTGTAGTTGTTTAACCGGCTAACCCCATGTTAGCTCGGGCCTTTCATCCATCCACCATGGCGGATGGCTAGGAAAGACACCGAGAAACCCCGGCATAAAGATCTTATAGGGCAGCATAAGGGGAGTGTCTAGGAGTTGGCACAGGCTCAGGATTGGTGTGCCTCCAGGCTTAGAGGGTTTGCCCTGTGTTGATGGGTCAACTGGTTGTTATGGCCTATAGACCCTCCCAGGGTGATTGCTGTGCACTTGTCCATAAAGCACACCCAGAGTCACAAAGCATAGCACTACCAGCTAACTTCTGATTGGTTCCTTGCTATGAGGCAGGCATCTGACCTCCTAGTAACCAAGGCAAGGTCAGGCAAGCACGTGTTAGGCTGTCATGGCTGCCGAAATAGGCAGGCATATGTGTGTGTGTGTGTGTGTGTGTGTGTGTGTGTGTGTGTGTGTGTGTATGAGTCATGATACCTGACTTGAATTCTCTCTCTCTCTCTCTCTCTCTCTCTCTCTCTCTCTCGCTCTCTCGCTCGCTCTCTCTGTGTGTGTGTGTGTGTGTGTGTGTGTGTGTGTGTGTGTCCTTCCTTCCCTTTTTCTATCTTTTTTTTCTTGGTTAGTAGTAACAACTGCACCTCTTTTGGAGCTAGAACTCTGATGTCCCCCTGAGTAATGGGCTGTGTCCCACCCTCAAGGAGGAACTTCACAGATGTTTCTCCAGAGAAGACGGACAATGGCCAGCAGTACCACCTTATATCTATCAGGACATCCAGTATTAAAAAGGCAAAAATAGATTCTGTGCGGTGGCGGCCAGCCGGGCAGCTCCGTGACCGGGTTCGGCATTGCACACGCCTCCCTCCCAGCGCCGCCGCGATGCCCAAGAGGAAGGTCAGCACGGATGGAACGGCCAAGGCAGAGCCCAAGCCCCGCTCTGCGAGGCTGTCGGCCAAGCCCGCCCCTGCCAAGGTGGATGCGAAGCCGAAAAAGGCCTCGGGAAAGGATAAATCATCAGACAAAAAAAGTGCAAACAAAAGGGAAGAGGGGAGCAAAGGGCAAACAGGCTGAAGCGGCTGACCAGCACACTGCAGATCTGCCTGCAGAGAACGGAGAGACAGAGAACCAGAGTCCAGCCTCTGAGGTAGAAGAGAAAGAAGCCAAGTCCAACTAACCGTCCATCATGTCTGTCAGTGGGAATATTTTTATCAACTATTTTGTAAATGCGAGTTTTTTAGTAGCTCTAGAAACATTTTTGAAAAGTGGGAGGAAATCTCACCTCATCCCATTTTTTAAGTGTAAATGATTTTTTTAAGAGGTTAAATCATTTGCTGGTTGTTTATTTTTTGGTACAACCAGAAAATAGAATGCTCAATCAGGAGAGGCTGTGACTGTCTAGGGGGCTAGTTTTATATCCTACAGCATAAAGCGTACTAAGTGTTTGGGGTCTTGGTCATGCATTTGTGTCTGCAGTATTTTCAGTTACATTTGGTCTCATGTTTCTAGTAGAACTGTTTCCTAAAAAAAAAAAAAAAAAAAAAAAACACTCCTCGGTCCTTGCCCTGTCAGAACTGTCTCTGATGGTCATGGCCGTCCATTTTCCTAACAATTGTGATAATATTTAATATTGCTGTGAAAGGTGGACATTTTGAGTATGTGCTGTATGTGGAATAAAATTGTGAGTCAGTGGAATTGAGGATTGTGAGCATTTGGGTTTTATGTGAGGTCTTAGGGAAAACTTGACACGTGTGAGGCTGGAACAACACTGAAATAAGTTCAAAGAGAAACAACACGTGACTCTTGGGGTACAAGTGTAGGGAGCCGTCCCTGCATTCTCCATTACAAGATGGCGCCTGCATCCGGCAGGCACCGAATGTAAACAAGATTATTGCGCAGGCGCTGGGTAATTTTCCATTCCTTGATCTCTGCCTATTCCGTGGCGTCATATGGCCCCATGAGCTGCAGCCAATCATGGGGTGACACGTCCGAGGTGGCGGTTGCCAGCCTTTATTAGGGGACGGGATTCTTGGCTCGGGGTCTCCGCTCTGGTAAGCTTATGCTCTCCTCTCAAGACGCATTAAAGCTTTCCTGCAGAAGGATCCGAGTGTCCCGTGTATGATTTCTTGCTGGCGAGAAATACAGAGCGCGCGGGACATATGGTGCCGAAACCCGGGAACATATGAACATCTCCAGCACCGCGGAGACCCCTTGGCTACAAGGCGGATTCAGAACTGCAGGATGGTAAATTCGGAGAGGTA